CCTTCTTCTTGCTCTCGAGCGTGCCGTCGGGGTTCGGCCGCAATATACTGTTTTGTGTGCGTGTGCGGCGTGAGAGTGTGTGTGTGTGTGTGTGTGGCAGCGTGTACGTGTACGTATGCGGTGCTAGAGAAAGTACCTTTTCAAGCTTCTCCTGGTAGCGCTCGGACACGGCACCCAGGTGGAGGAAGGTCTCGAACTCGGATTGGAGCTAGTTCGACGTTGAAAGGGAAACGAGTGAGCAAACACGAACGTGAATGGTGGGGTGTGCGGTGTGATGCACTTACCGTGGACTCCTCGTTGAGCTTGGCGTTCTTCGCCCGCTTCTTGAGGTACCGCTTGGTGGGCTTGGTCTGAAGCGCTTGTCTGGCCGCCGTCAAGTAATACCTGAATTTGCAAAATAACAATTACATTAATACTAATAAGCAACAATAATAAACAACAATAAACAACAATAAAGAATTGAGAGGGCGATTCCGTACTTCTGGACGAGCGCGGGCGTGTTCTTGGAGAGGAAGGAGAAGCGCTCGAGGTGCTTGCTCTTGGTAATATCGATCGAGTCCTCGCCGTAGTTGAACTGAATCACCGACGCGTCCGAATCGCGCACCGTGGCATCGTAGCACACTCTCAGCGACTCCTGCACACACGCGCACGCGCACGCAACCAGCCCAGCGATATTAGCGAGAGCCTCGATGGGCGGGGGAGGGCATCAGCTGATGACGTCGCGGGTGCGCACCAGGTGCTTGACGAGACAGCGCTGGAGGTAGCCCGAACGCGAGGTCTTGACGGCGGTATCGATCAGACCCTCTCGGCCGGCCATGCAGTGGAAGAAGAACTCCTGCGGGCGGATGCCGGTCAAGAAACGATCGGCGATGTAGCCGCCGGCGCGACCCTCGGCCTCATGGGGCTCGAACGACGGCAGCGTCTTGCCGCTGATCATCGACGACACACGCTTGCCCTCGAGCTCCTGCTGACCTGTAACAATTATGTTTAAAAAATGCATGATACGTGTTAGATGTGGTGCGTGCGGTGTGTGCGGTGTGTGAGTGTGTACCGAGCAGACAGCAAATCTGCGACACGTTGACCATGGAGCCCTTGGCACCGGAGGTGGTCATGAGAGTGAGGTTGTTCCAGGGGAACTTCTTGACCTGGCCCTTCATCGTCTCCTTGATGATGTCCGTGGTCATGGACGACATCTGCTTCTTCATGAGGTTGTCCCACGTCGTCGCCTCGTCGGGGTCGCGCACGGCCTGGCCCAGGCCCTGCCGCACCTCCGGCCGGTCGACCTTGTCCGTGCTCGAATAGCCCAGGAACTCAGAGGCCACCTCGTAACCGCTGTTGTTGGCCTTCCGCAGCAGCCCCTGCCGCACACTATCAAACTCGTTCTGCACGACACGCACGTGAGTGGGTCGGTCGGCTTGCTGACACAACACGCGCGCAGGCGCTGCGAGATTGATGGGGGGGGGGCAAACAACAACGTACGTTGATGAGCATGTCGTCGATACCGCAGGTGAAGGCGACGGTGTTGAGGTAGAAGGTGAAGAGACGGCCGAGTGCGCTCAGCAGCTCTCCCGCCTTCTTCGAACCGTACAACTCGTACGTGGCCTGCCCGCGAAAAAACACCGTTAGTCGAAGACCAGAGCCCCGGACTGGGTGAAACGTACGTGGACAAGACCATACGCCGAGGCACCGAACTGCGACTTATCGAGGATGCCGGTGAGGAGCTCGTTACCGCGCACGATGACGATGCCCTCCTCCGAGTGATCCTTCCAGCTGGCCGCCGGGATCTTCGAGCTGCTGTCCAGGTTGAGCGGCTGGTAGCCCTTGAGCAGCTCCATCAGCAGATTGCTGATCTGCAATTGACGATACACACGTGAGTACGGCCTGCGGTCACTGCGAACTCGCTACGCGCTGGAAAGGCGCAATAGTTTAAGGGCCACGTACCACTTGCTTGCCGGACCACAGGGGCACGGGCTTGACGATGCAGGGCGGGATGGTGATGATGGGCGTCTGGTAGCGGAGGTGGGCCGAGCCGCGCGTGGGCGGGAGCGTGGAGATGGCGGCGTAGAGGAGCTGCTGGAACTCCTCGCGCGTGAGCATGGTGTCCTTGTTGGTGAGCAGCGAGCCCATCACCACGTGATCCTGGATGAGACCACGGAGCGGGCTGCCGTCGGTCGGTACGATGTACTGCTCATCGCCCAACGCGATCGTGTAGGCCTCAGCGCGCGCCAAGTCGCTCTGCGGGAAATGGATGTTCATTTCGTCACCTGTGTGAACACACACACACACACACACACACACACACACAGTGAGACTCGATATATAACGCTGATTGGGTGGAGGAAAGGGAGAGAGCTCGGCTGTACCGTCGAAATCGGCGTTGTAGGCATCGCAGTTGGCGTAGTGCATGCGAATGGTCTTCTCGGTCCGGAGGACGCGCACGATGTGGGCCATGATCGAGGGCTTGTGCAGCGAGGGCTGTCGGTTGACCAGCACGGCGTCGCCGTCGCGGAGGTGACGCAGCACCTTGACCAGTCCCTTCTCGTTGTTGCGCAGGGTCTTGGACAGCGCCAGCCGGCCCGCCTCGTCGCTCTCGCGCAGGACCGTCGTGTGACCGTTCTCGTCGATGACGGCGTTGGCGCCGGGGTACTTGCCGGGGCCGTTCATCACCGCCTGCTGCATCTCTCGGAAGTTCGTCTCCGTGACCGGCTCCGGGAAGGTGAGCTTCATCGCGAACACCAGCGGAATCTATGACCACGCCAATGGCCACATAGCACGCGTCGCATTTAATAATTAATTATTAATGCTTATAAATTATAAAAGCCATTAAATAGATAAATGAAGAAAATCAAACGTACGCCGATTTCGTTGGTTTGGAGGAAGGGATCGGGCGAGATAACGGAACGCGCGGCGAAGTTGACGCGCTTGCCCATCATGTGCTTACGGAAGAGACCCTCCTTCTTCTCCAGGAGCTGCTTGATACCGGCCGCCGCACCAACGCCAGCGTTCGAGCTATCGAACAGCGCGTTCACCTGTGAGGTGGGAGTATCGTATGAGCTGAACTGTTCGGCCGGATTGCCCAGCCGCGCGGTGTCACAAGCAATGCACGTACGGTCTTCTGCATCGAGATCCAGAGCTCGACTCGCTGCTCCACGGTCATCTCGCCCTTCTGAAAAGAGAGAAAATGCAAAAATGCAAAACACGTCAGCGTGTTCCACTGCTTCACGGCCGGTGTGTGTTGTGGTGTCGGGTTCGTTATCGTACGTCGGTCTTGGCGGTCAGCAGCTGGTCGTTGTAGGTCATAATGCGAGCGAGGTAGATGTTTTGCGGGTGGTCCATGGCCATTCCGTTCACCCTGTCATGCATGACACTCAAAAAGTCAGCTGACTCGCGCAAACACCGAGCCTTACGAATGTGTCTAGACGTACATGTTGAGAGGACGGAAGCGCGAGGGAGGAACGGCGACGGTCTCAAGGAAGTAGACCATCGGGTCCGCGGCCCGGTGGGCGGGCAGGTCTGCAAGACGCACACACGCTCATATTAGGAGCAGCAGAGGTGATGCGGCATAGCATTGTGTGGCGTGGCGTGTGGCGTGTGGCGCGTGTGGCGCGTGTGGCGTGTACAGCCAAAGAAGCGACAACGTACTGTGGCTGAGGCGAATGGAGCCGAAGGCAAGCCGCATGATCTTCTCCTCGGCGGCGTACAGCTTCTTGATGTGGTCAAGCACCTCGCTCGGCGCCATGTACTTGACCTTGGAGGATGACTTGGCGGCGGGCTTCTTGGCCTTTTTGACCACCTCCTCCGCTTGCTCCTCCTCGCTAGCGCTCTTTTCCTCGTCGTCGTCATCGCTGCCCTCGTCGCTGTCGTCGTCACTATCGTCACTGTCGCTCTTGTCGTCGTCGTCATCGCTGCCGGCTTCCTCGTCAGTCTTCTTGGCCTTCTTCTTACTCTTGTCGGCCTTTTCCGCCTCCTCCTTCCCCTTCTTCTTTTGCGCAGCTGCACCGAATAAAAATAGAAATAGAAGGCTCAATATTGGAAACAAATAATAAAAATGTTATTGGAAAAAGGGAGCATATACCTGCAGTCTTGGCGGCGTTGCTGCTGGCGACCATCTTGTTGACGGCCTTGGCCGTGCTGGCGAGCGTGGTCTTGAAGATCTTCTCTTTCCTGTCGCCGCGGATGTTCGGGCTCTTACTGCACACACAAAAAAAAAACGTGAGCATCACCGGTAACGACACGAACACGAAGGCAAAGGAATGGTGGTGGTGCGATGTGCGATGGACGAAGTTTACCTCTTGCAGTTCTCGCAGACCTTGGGAACAGCGTGCAGGAGCTCGACCAGCGCGCGTCTGAACTCCTGGGTGCGCGAGCTCTTGGCCTTGAAGAGCTCGTCGACTGCACGTTACGATTAGTGTTTGCTGTCGTGTTGTGCAATGGGAATGGGGGGGATGAAATGGCTCCTTACCAGATTGGTTGTGAATGCCCTGATGGGCGTTGTCGTAGGCCTCCTCTTCGGTCTTGATCTTCTCGAGCGTCTCCTGAGCATACTTGCGCAGCGCGGTCAGGTTGGCCAGCACCTTCCTGCTCGGCTTCGGGCCATCGGCTGCGCAGGAAGGAATTAACACAATAACAATAACAACGCATTAGTCCAACCAACTGGTGCGAGATGAAGCAAAGGGGGGCAAGGGTGCGCACTCGATGCGGTTTCCTTGAGCTGCTCGGCGCACCAATCACGGTGGAGGTAGTAGTTATCCACATCGAGCGCCTCCACGATCTTGCCCTCATCGAGCAGGCTCAGCGACTTGGCCAGTCTGTTAACCTAGAGGGTGATCGGACGCAACGGTAAATAAGACAAAACGAAAGTATGTATTGTAGAAAATTGAAATAAATATAAAAATAAATAAATAAATAAATTCAGACAGGTGCGAACCTTGTCCCGCGACAGGCGAAGCTGGTGGCACTCGAAGCACTTGGCGCGCAGGATGCGCACGAGCTGCTTGAACATCATGGGATTGTACACCGGCACGGCAAGCTCAATGTGTCCGATGTGTCCGGGGCAGTCACGCTCGCCCAGGCCGCAGGTAGCGCATCTGCCAAGCATTAATTTAATTAAATTGGCGCTTAGCATGGGACCCTGCTGAAGGAGCGAAATCATCACAAAATCGCGAAATGAAAAGGGTGGCGATGTACGTTTCAAATCTGTTGATGGGACCCATAGCAGGATCGTAGAGACCGCCGGGAATGGGGTTGCCGAGAACATCGAGCGAGGCGGTGGTGAGGATCCGCTTGACACTGATCTTCTTGATCTCCTCCGCCGTGTAGAAGCTGAATGCCGTGGCCTTTACCTCATCGCGGATCACCAATGTGCGGAGATTTTTGGAATCTTCGTTCATCTTGTCAAAGT